CTGAGGCAGAAGGATTGCTTGAGCCCAGGAGTTTGAGGTTGCTGTGAGCTAGGCTGACGCCACGGCAATCACTCTAGCCCGGGCAACAACGCGAGACTCTGTCTCAAAAAAAAATAAAATAAATAAAATAAAAATGTTGATCTGTATAAGCAGAAAAAAAAAAGGTAAAAACCCAGCCAGGCATGGTGGCTCCTGCCTGTGGTTCCAGCTACTTGGGAGGTTGAGGTGGAAGGATCACCTAAGCCCGGGAGTTTAAGACTAGACTGGGCAACATATCAAGACCCCATTTCAAGTGTGAACTAAAATAAAATCTTAAGGCTCACCCCCCACTGGCTGACTGAATGGACCCCTTCTTGGCTGAGGGGATATCCTAGAACTAAATTGCCTGCCACAAGGAGGGAGGTCAGTCATACCTCATCATGCCCCCTCCCTTCTTGGGGACATCCTTTGTAACCCATTAACAGGCCTAAGCTATGCAAGACAAACCTGAAGGTCCCCAGTTTACACAAGTATATGTCTGCTGACTTGTCTCTGATTAACAGCTCTTTGTCTTAAAACATTCCAAGCCTTTAGACAAAGCTTCCTATCTTTAGCCAATTACAAGTCAAAGAATCTTTAAACCTACCTATAACCTATAAGCCCTGCCCTCCCTTGAGATGGCCCACCTTTTCAGGCCAAACCAATGTATGCCTCCCATGTATTGATTTATGACTTTACCTCTAACCCCTGTCTCCCTGAAATGTATAACACCAAACTGTAACCCAGTCACACTGAGTCCACTTGCTCAAGGCTTCTTGGGCATGGCTCCGGGTCATGGTCCTCAAAATTGGCTCAGAATAAATCTCCTTAAAATTATTTTACAGAGTTTGGCTTCTTTTACGTTAACACAAGAAAAAAAAAAACCCTAGCACTCTGGGAGGCCCAGGTGGAAAGGATCACTTGAGCTCAGGAGTTTGAGACCAGCCTGAGCAAGAGTGAGACCCTGCCTCTACTAAAAATAGAAAAATTAGCCCGGCATTGTGGCCTGCGCCTGTAGTCCCAGATACTCGGGAGGCTGAGGCAGGAAGATCGCTTGAATCCAGGAGTCTGAGGTTGCAGTGAGCCACTGCACTCCACCTGGGGTGATAAATTGAGACTCTGTCTCCAAAAAAAAAAAAAAAGAGAAAGAAAATCAATAGATATTTTCTAAAATGGATGAATCAAAATGTTATAAGATAGATTTATTATTTTTAAAATGTAGATAAATCTGTAAGAAAAAACTGAAAAAGTGGTTACCTATGAAAGGGATATAGAGGGGTTGAGAAAACAAGGAACTGCAGTTTTTTTGTTATTGGTTTTTTGCAGTAATTGGCTTTTTACAAAAATGATTTTTAAAACCTAAGATCTAGGCCAAATAGTGGCATTTAGGAGGAACTGTGTTTCATTTCTAGTTGATGAAGGAAAGTTCTTTACAAAAGAATGTAGAAAGAATGCCAATATTTTAAAATTTGCTATTTGGCAACCCCCAGTGAAGTCACTGAACCGGGCAAGGATCATCAGTGGACGTTAAGACCACTAGATGCGAGATTGGAGGGAAGTGGGAATTCACCCCGAGCCATAGTCGCATCTAGAGATAGCCTGCAAACTGCAAAGGGGGATCATACCTTTTCTGTGCAGAGATCTGGGAGTCACAATCCTAACCAAGAGATGAAACTTAGCGTCCCTGAAAGTGAGACAACCAGGCATTGCATGTCTCCTGATGGGTGTAGTAGGACATTCAGGGCTTTCCCCAAGATGTGTTCTGGCCTTCACGTTTAACCTGAATCATGTGTATCTCAGACCTGGTGGATAATGATGAACTGAAAGCCGTAGTGGAAGCGAATTCATCTGAACATACACGTGATTTAGTAGCAAGGTTTGACGTTACTATTCCAACAATATTGGACCATTTGAAACAAATCAGCAAGGTAAAGAAGCAAGATAGATGGGTACTGCATGAATTAAACAAGCATCAGAAGAGAAATTGTCTCGAAGCTTGCCTTTCTTTGCTGTCACGACATAAAATCAAATGATTTGTACACTGTGTTATGACGTGTGATGAAAAATGGATCCTTTTTGACAATCATAGGCGTTCAGCACAATGGTTGGATAAAGAAGAAGTGCCGAAACACGGTCCAAAAGCGAATATTCATCAAAAAAAAGCTAGTGGTGTGCGTTTGGTGGTCCAGCGCTGGTATTATCCACTACAGCTTCATGAAACCTGATCAATTGATTACAGCGGATGTCTACTGCAACCAATTGAACGAATGATGAGGATGCTTGTGATTAAGCAGCCAAGATTGGTCAACAGAGACAGGCCAATTCTCTTACAAGACAATGCTCAACCACATGTCACACAAACAACGCTGCTCAGACTATAGAGGCTGGACTCGGAAACTCTCATCCACTGTATTCAACAGATCTTACACCAACTGACTACCACTTCTTCCAGGCTTTGGATCACTTCTTGTAAGGAAAAATATTCAATTCTCAGCAAGCTGTAGAAAACGCCTTTCGTGATTTCATTGCCACTAACTCTCTAGGCCTCTTCGCTGCTGGCATAAACGAGCTACCGTTAAGATGGCAAAACTGTGTCAATAGTTTAGGCGCATATTTTGATTAATTGTACTGCCTCTTGTTTGAGATATAATAAACACTTTTGATTTGGAATTGGACATTTTGTATTAATGACCTAATAGAAAGTTTTTAAAAAATGTTGAAAAAAGGCCGGGCACGGTGGTTCATGCCTGTAATCGTAGCACTCTGGGAGGCCAAGGCGGGAGGATCACTCAAGGTCGGGAGTTCAAGACCAGCCTGAGCAAGAGCGAGACCCCATCTCTACTAAAAAATAGAAAGAAATGATCTGGACAACTAAAAATATATATATAAAAAAATTTTCCGGGCATGGTGGCGCATGCCTGTAGTTCCAGCTACTCAGGAGGCTGAGGCAGGAGGATCGCTTGAGCCCAGGAATTGGAGGCTGATGCCACAGCACTCTAGCCCAGGCAACAGAGCAAGACTCTGTCTCAAAAAAAAAAAAAATGTTGAAAAAATAATGGAATTAGAAAATCACCATTTTGCAATTATCCTAGTAATAACTAATTCGGTAAGACTCATCAATAGATCCTAAAATGACTGGGTAAAAATTTGAAGACAAGCAGGATATTTATGTAGTCTCAGTGGATCTACGTATTGATTATTAGTTCCAAAAGGGGAAAATGGTAACGTTACAGTGAAGAATACCAGCAGACACCACTGTAAGCAGAGATCAAGGTTAACATCATTGGTAAGGGACCAACAGACAGCACGTGCCTCCTGCGTGATATACAAGGATGCAGCATCGCTTCAGTGGTCTCCTTGCCAAACACTTACAACCTGAATCAAATCATGAGGGAACATCGGACAAACCCAAATTGAGGTACATTCCACAAAACAAACAGGCCTGAACTCTTCAAAAGTGGCAGTGTTGGTTGGGTGTGGTGGCTCATGCCCATGAGCCTAGCACTTTGGGAGGCCAAGGTGGGAGGATCGCTTGAGGCCAGGAGTTTGAGGCTGCAGTGAGCTGTGATCATGCCACTGCACTCCAGCCTGGGTGACAGAGTTAGATCCCATCTCAAACAAAAAAAAAATTTCCTGAATTTGATAGTAGTACTGTGAGTGTGTAAGAGAATGTCTTTGTCCTTAGGAAAGACAAGCTGAAGTATTTAAAGGGAAAGGAGGGACCATAGGTCTGCCACTACCTCTCAAAATGGATATGCAAATACTTCCAGGTACATATTATTTTCTATGTCTAGAGCGGGAGTGATAAAGCGAATGCAATCAGTTGGTGAATGTGGACGAAGGACACAAAGGAGTTCTTTATACTGTTCTTGCAGCTCTATCGTAAAGATTAAATCGTTTCAGAGTAAAACAGTTTTTATTTAAATCTAAGTTAGAACAGTTGGGAATCTCAGCTTAAAGTCAGTATTGTTAAAAATTTTAAAAATGAAGAAAAAAAGAAAAAAAAGAATAGCTGGGGAGGCAGCTTCTCATTTTGGCAGGAGCCAAAAACACGAACATTAAAAGGAAATTAAATCTCGATAAAGGTGCCTTTACTTAAATAACCTGAGTACCGTGGTATTTCTCTCAGTTGTCAGGGACACTTGCAGAGTTCCTCCGGTTTACCTTGCAGAGCTGACAGAGCTGGAGAATTCAAGGGAGGCGCCAGAGGGGAGGAGGCACACCCCAAGTGACCTGGTCGCAAACTGGGCCTGCTCCCAGACTCTCTGGTTCTCTGCCCAGGGCCCTTTCTTTCCAGCTGAGACCTGGCCTCCTTACGCTGCATCCTGCATCCTTAAGAAGCAAGCCAGCTACCCAGGGCGCTGCTGGGGACCTGCCCCCAGACCCTCAGCCTCTGTCCAGCACTGGCATTCCCCTGACTTGTGCCTCCTGGCATCGTTTCCTGTTCTCTGTTGGGCTCCCCACCTGTCCCTACCCCCACGTGGATTATATACCTCACCTACATTACACGCTTTCATTTTTTGTGTGTACCTTTAACTGCAGGTCAGCATAGTGCAGGTAAATCCTAAGGGCTCGGTACACTCATTCTGATCCATTGCCTTCAGAAAGCGTTTAATAAATGTCCAAAAGACAGGAGATGTTTTTGGCCCTCTCTCTGATAATGGACAGGCTGAATGTGTAAAGGGTGTAAACAACAAGCAAACAAACCAACCAAGAGAACTTACCAAACACTATATTTCAAACAACTTCTGACAATCAGTGCTGATTCTGAGAACTTTGGACAATCAGCACTGTGAAGCTGAAACCCAGAGATGAATTCACACAGGAGTGGGAGGATCTGTGGTCCAGCCTCGCTCTGGCCTTATTCTTTTCCTGATTGAGTTACTTACCGTCTTCAAGATTGCGTTTGCTGGTCTTCCCAGCTCGCCTGCAAGCTTCTGAAGGGCAGGCACCTGTGTGACCTTTCCCTGGAACCTTCTGCACACCCAGCTCTGCACCTAAGATGCCACAGTACTGGGACAGCAATTTATAGGCTGGGCGACATCCTTGGGCAAGTCTGTGACCTCAGGCCAGTCACACGGCCTCTGAGCTTTGGTTTCTTTCTTCTTCTACAAAATGCAGATAATAAAATTGACTTCTCCCCCAAAGTAGTTGAGCGGATTAATTGAAATGACACAGGCCTCTGCAGTTATCCAGTGCTTCACAATGTTCGTGCCCATCAGGGGCCATGTGTCTAGTGTCGTCCCCTGTGCAGGGCCACTCTTGGGGGTGGGTAAAGGCCACTCACTATATCTGCCTCCAGTCTTCCTCCCTCATCCCTTCGAATAGGTTCAGGCATAATCTGGTTAATATGAACAGCAGGCATAAGAGACGGACTTGCAGGACTTAACTATTTTTCCCTAGAAGGCTGTAAGAAGCAGAGGGCAGACTGTGCCTGGGTTCAAATCCCGCCTCCACCACTTACTGGTCACAAGAGCTTGGGCAGGGTTACTCTGTGCCTCACAATAGTATGCACCTACCTTACAGGGTTGTGAGGATGAAATGAGTTAATGCATATAAAAGTACTTGAGTCTGTGTAAACCTTTGTTATTACTGCGTTTCATTGAATTGATATATGTACATACTAAGAAATTTAAATTGTTGCCAAGTAAACTATGACACGTCATCAACTGGAACTGGAACTGAAATTACATACTGACTTCAGAAATTTGAAACAAAAACTGTGTCTTAAAATATGACAGTACAGTATTATTATTATTAGAGGGTTAGAGCTGAACATGCTGGTATTTCGTGCCGTGGGAGTCAAATCCCAAGTCTACCATGTATTCCTTGGTGACCTTATGCAAGATACCTAACCCAGCTATGTCTCAGTTTCCTCACCTGCACAATGAGGATAGTATCAATAGTACCTACCACACAAGACTGTTGGGGCAATTATTTAATTTAATTTAATTAATTTATTTTAGAGATGCGGTCTCTGTCATCCAGGCTGGAGTGCAGCGATGCAATCATAGTTCATTGTAAGCTGAACTCCTGACCTCAGTCGATCCTCCTGCCTCAGTCTCCCGAGTAGCTGGGACTACTGGCGCGCGGGTCACCAAGTCTGGCCTGTTAGGGCAATTCAGTATGTGAGTACTTAGCACCTGGCACATAATAGCGCTATTATTGCTATTATTTAGAACAAAGTTACTGTTTCCAAGTTTAGAGGTTGGCTAGCTGAGCGCGGAGAGGACGCACTGAGTGGCTTTTGGAGAAAGGGCTGAGGCCTCCCCATCGCTCCCAACTCTGGGAAAGTCAGGAGGGCACGGTACCCCCCAGCCCAGCACCCCCGAGCCCAGCCCCCGCATGGCCCCGCCCCCATGGGCCAGCCCCGCATGGCCCGGCCCGTCCCCGCCCCACCCTTTCTGGCCGCTACTCTCGCGCACTTTCAAAGTACGCGAGCTCGGACAGGGACCCGGGACCGGCGGTTGGTCAGGCGAAACCATCTGCTGCGTTACGTGGGGGGAGTTAAGAGCCTGTGCAGCCATATTTTTTTCAACCTTTAGCTTTTCAGGCCCAGATCGTGGTCTTGTTTTAGCCTTCGACTTGTCTCTGCAGCTCAAGTTCCCAGGAGGGAGGCCAACTCCCTGGGGAGAAGGTTATTTTGGCTCCGTGAGGCGCACTCCCCCTATTGATGGGGACCCGGTGGGCGGGCACGACGGCCGGCGGGGGGAGGAGGCGGCCCTAGCGCCATTTTGTGGGGACGAAGCGCTGGCTGGCCTGCTTTTGGATCCCTTGCTGCTTTGGTTTGCCTATCGGGCTTCCTAGCAGCGGCCTAGCGGGTGAGTCGCGAACGCTTCTCACGGAGGACGCCCCGGTTGCCCCGGCTCCTGTATTGGGGCGGCCCAACGGGGGCATAGCGGCTTCGGCCCCCGCCCCGGGAAGGGAGCAGTGAGGTCGGGCCTGCCTTGTGCTGTCCGAGCGGGCTCGCGCGGGAGCGTCGTTAGGGCTTCGCGCGGGGCGGCACCCGGCGCCGAAGCAGGGACACTGGGCCGGCGGTGCAGCCCAGACTCAGGCGGAGGATTGGGCTGGCCTCCGGGCCCGGGCAGTGCTTCTGCCTTCGGGACTTTGCACTGTGGGGGACACTGCCAGCTCAGGCCTTGTACCCCTGCGGCCCCACCCCGGGCCGCGCTGAAAAACTCCCTGGGCCGTCACGTGCTGGCTTCTGGGAGGTGGCGGCCGCCTTATGAAGGACCTGTCGCTGCAGTCCTCGTGGCTAAAGTTTGGAGAGCCCCCGGAAGTCCCAAAATGAGGAACAGAGAGAAACTTTCTCTTGTTCTTTACCTTTGGTTCACTGCTTCCAGTTTTCAAGATTCAGTTTATGCATCGCTTGCTTACTGCTTTGATCCATACACTCAAGTGTCTAACCAATTGAAGTTGTCCCCGGCTTTCAGAATTATTTGCTTCTTTCACGATTGTAGCAATAAAATAGTTACTTGTTTACTGTCTTTCTCTTGCTTACCCCCCTTGTAACCAGCATGCCACGTGGGACTTAGAGTTACAGTTTCAGCACTTGATGCTTAGTAAGCACGCACTAAATACTTATTGAATCAGTGAACCCTCCTTGCCTTTACTTCCTCATTTTTCAGGGGTAACCAGTATGTATAAGAATCCAATTTTCCCCGAAGTCAGAACAATAACATGGTGGTATTATGATATTAAATATAACGAAACAATTTATTTGACATGAATGTTGATCATTCTATTTCTTTTCCCTTTAAGAAAAAAATAAGAAAAGATGTCTGAATATATTCGGGTAACGGAAGATGAGAATGACGAACCCATTGAAATACCGTCAGAAGACGATGGGACGGTGCTGCTATCCACAGTTACAGCCCAGTTTCCAGGGGCATGTGGGCTGCGCTACAGGAATCCAGTGTCTCAATGTATGAGAGGTGTCCGACTGGTAGAAGGAATTCTGCATGCCCCTGATGCTGGTTGGGGGAATCTGGTATATGTTGTGAACTATCCCAAAGGTTTGTTACCATTTAGTTTTATAATAATGCTGAAGTATTGTCAAATTTGGTTTGTGTCTCATCCATAGATAGTGGCTTTTTTTTTTTTGAGACAGAGTCTCACTGTGTTGCCCAGGCTAGAGTGCCGTGGCGTCATCCTCGCTCACAGCAACCTCAAACTCCTGGGCTCAAGCGATCCTCTGCCTCAGCCTCCCGAGTAGCTGGGACTACAGGAATGCGCCACCATGCCCGGCTAATTTTTTTCTATATATATGTATTTTTAGTTGTCCAGATCATTTCTTTCTATTTTTTGGTAGAGACGGGGTCTCGCTCTTGCTCAGGCTGGTCTCGAACTCCTGACCTTGAGCGATCCACCCACCTTGGCCTCCCAGAGTGCTAGGATGACAGGCGAGCCACCGCGCCCGGCCTGGGGTTCTGGTCTTATTCTTCTTGATGCCTCTTATCACTGATGTTCTAAATGTAAGAAAAGGAAGCATGCAGATTCAGAAGTATGCGAAGGCAATAGGTACACAGCAGTATGAATATGTGCCAGTTGATATATCTGTGTTACTTTTATTATAACTTGATACTACAACAAGATCAGTCCATCACATTTGGTTAGTATGCAAAACATTGACTTAGAAGACTAGTACAATTTTAATTGTGTAAACTTAAGTTTTTGTAGTATGCTGTTTCTTGAGCCATTGGCCATAGATTTACCCAAATTTAAAATGTCGTTTAATTCCTCTCCTCTTCTAAGTAACCGAAGGTTAAGGCTTTTTAAAATAACCTAGAAGTTTTTTTGTATTATTACAAAGTTTAATGTTTAATGTTGTTGAAAGTTTAGAAAAGATAAAAAGAAAAATTAAAATCACTCTTAAATCTACAACTGGAGATAAAAGTTGCTGATTTTTTGGTATATAGCCTTTACATTATATAATAGGCATTTAAATAATTAAACATATTTAATAGCTACTAAGACAATATCGCAGTATTTTAAACGTGTTTTTTCCCTATTAATGTATTTTAAAAGTCAAAGTGAAATAGAGTTATTTTTGTTCTGATAAGCCTTTTGAGAGGGAGAACATACAATTGATTGTGATCTTGAGATATTAGAAAAGCAGTTGGGAATCCCTTAATTTGCACCAGAAAAGTACCTCACCCACTTATCCAAGCCTTTATTCTGTCCTTGAGAGCTACCATCATTTCTTGCCAAAAGTTTTCAGTGTCGTGTTGTTGTTAGAATCTCCTTTTTGCTTCTCATTTCTAGATATAGGAGGTAGTGTGTTTTTAAAGAACTGCTAAATGAAGATTTCTAAAAGGTTTCTGCTCATTTTGTTTAGATAACAAAAGAAAAATGGATGAGACAGATGCTTCATCAGCAGTGAAGGTGAAAAGAGCAGTCCAGAAAACATCTGATTTAATCGTGTTGGGTCTCCCATGGAAAACAACTGAACAGGATCTAAAGGAATATTTTAGTACCTTTGGTGAAGTTCTTATGGTGCAGGTAAACTTTGATTGCATTGAACGTTTTTCTTTACCAGTGAATGAGCATTCCTGTTACTTCAGCGGCACTGTCCTTCATATTCCACAGATGATACTTTTAATATTTGTTATATTTATACATAGGGGATGTTTAAAAAGAAATTTGGCTTAGATTGTTTATGCACGTACTATATATTTTTGCCTTTGATATTGTAAAATCCTACTGTGGCATGAAGGCTTAAGTAACATTAGCTGTTTTCTTTTTTTGTTGTTGTTTTTTAGAGACAGGGTCTGTTGCCTGGACTAGAGGGCTCTAGTGCAGTGGTGTCATCGTAGCTCACTGCAACCTCAAACTCCTGGGCTCAAGCGATGCTCCTGCCTCAGCCTCCCGAGTAGCTGGGACTACAGGCATGCGCCACCGTGCCCAGCTCAATTTTTTCTTTATATATTACATTGATGGGAGATCTTCAGCTTTTCCCATTTAATGAGTTAAGATTTGGAAACATTAAATCTAGTTTATCTTTGTGCTTGTCCTGAAATGTTCTGTTAAAATTTTATCATATAAATGAGTTTTACTTTACTGTTAACACAATATGGATTCAGTATTAACCCTCTTGTTTCTTTTACCCCAAGACTAACTTGACTTGGTTTAAGTTTTAATTAAGCCACTGTATCCAATTGAAGCCATTCAAATTGTATGTCAAAAAAAGCTCTGCGGCCGGGCA